ATGTAATTCGGATCGCTGACGTGGACTAAGATGATGAAGGAATCGATGATTTTGAGGAGGATCTTGGCGAAGATGCCGATGACGACCAGGGGTCATACCAGGGTGTCGACGAGGGTAGGAAAACCTAGTTCATTTGGAATATACTGGATAGTTAACCCCTGCTCCATTAGATGACGATATGCTAGACACTTGGGACATAGATGGCGATGACCTTCCAATGCCACGTGCTGGGCAACCTCCGCGGTTTGGTGGCGGTCAACCAACGTGGGCTGCTGTTACCGGATTTATGCCTGGTCGTAACGGCGGACTTGTTCCCATTCAGCCTTATCGACTCCACCGAGCTCAGGCACCCGCGAGCACCAATAACGACGGAACTAACCCTTTGCTTGTTCGCAGTGATCGTGGCACTGAGCAGGCCGCCCCGGCCCATGCAGGTGCCGAAGGTTTCTCGGACTGGGTGCATGGCATGGAACCACCTCCTGCAGGGCGCATGCTCCAAATGGAAAGCCCTGTGAGCTTCATGAATGCCATTCTACAGGCTATCGGTGGACAAGGCGCACCTGGCTTCGGTGTCATTACTCGCCCTGAGGGTATCCAGCTACATGTTGATCAGCGGGCTTTGCCAAACCAAGTTCAGGACATCTTCGGTCTGGGTAGACCACAAGCTCCTCCGACTCGCCCAAGGGACGATCCATCTCAAGCAGTCAGCTTTGCTCTGGATACCACTAGGAACCGCTGGCAAGAGGAAGCCGGCATCCTTTTCAGCAACACGTATGTGGAGAAAACACAGCGCGTTGTCAACTCTCTCCTCAAGATTCTTGTTCCTCCGGCCATTGAGGAAGAAAAGAAGCGACAGAAGCAATTGGAGGAAGAGCGTAAGCGACGCGAGGAAGAGAGGGCAGAAAAAGAGCGCCAAGAGCGTATTGCCAGAGAAGAGAAGGAGAAAGAGCGAAAGCGACAAGAGGAAGAAGAGAATACCAAACGACAGCAGGAAATGGAGCAGCAAGAAGCCGAACGACAGGCTGTCGGGGAGGCCGCAGAGCCTATGGATGATGTTCAACGAACCGAACCCGCTGCAGAAGCCGCTGCCCCTGAGTCTGGTCCGGTTGAGCCCGTTCAGCGGGTTACTACGACAATCAGAGGTCGCGAACTTGACATTACGGGGATGGAAATTGATCCAGAGTACCTCGAGGCTTTGCCCGAAGACTTAAGGGAAGAAGTCATAATGCAGCAGGTCGCTGAGCAGCGCTCGCAGGCTGCCGCAGCGGGTGAAGAGCCGAGCGAGATCAACCCCGAGTTCTTGGAGGCGCTGCCTGATGAAATTCGCGAAGAATTACTGCAACAAGAAGCCGCAGACCGCCGACGTCGGGAACGTGATAATGCACGTAGGCAGGCCGCAACTGGTGCTGTTGCTGGTGCTGGTGCTGGTGGTCCGTCTCATACAGAAGAGCTCGAGACTCCCGCTGGGTTCCTGGCTACTTTGGATCCCATATTGCGGCAGTCTATTCTTGCGGACCAACCAGAAGAAGTCCTGGCGACTCTGGGTCCAGAATATGTCTCCGAAGCGCGTACTCTTCCTGCGAGACGATTGGCTCAATTTGGCGATATTCCCCGACTTGATCGGCAGAGAGATGAGCCTGAGGAGGAGGTAGAAGAGCAAAAGAAGCCGCAGCGGCGACAGATAGTGCAAATGCTCGACAAAGCTGGTGTCGCAACCCTCCTCCGATTAATGTTCATGCCTTTGCAAGGCAACGCGCGCCATCAACTGAACGATATTCTTCACAACGTCTGTCAGAACCGCCAGAACCGGATGGAAGTCATCAGTCTCCTTTTATCTGTGCTGCAAGACGGTAGCGTGGATGTCTCAGCCATCGAACGTAGCTTCGCGCAGCTGTCACTTCGCGCCAAGGCTCCTGCGGCGCAGAAGACGCCTCAATCTATCAAGCGGAACCTGTTCTTCCAGACATCGTCGAGCGTCAGCAGTGAGGTAACTCCGATTATGGTGGTGCAACAATGTCTGTCGGCCCTTTCTTTCCTGTCGCAGTACAACCCCCATATCGCGTGGTTCTTCCTTACCGAGCACGATCCTTCTATGCTGAAATTGAAAGCTCTTCGAAAGGGCAAGGGCAAGGAAAACCGTGCGAACAAGTTTGCTCTGAATGCTCTGCTTTCTCTTCTTGATCGGCAGTTGATTATGGACAGTCCAAACTGCATGGAACAGCTTTCAAGCCTTCTTAGCAGCATCACACACCCTCTCAATTTGCTCTTACGCCGCGAAAAGGAGAAGCAGGAGGAGGAAAAGGAGAAGGAGAAGGGCAAGCAGCCTGAGCGGGCTCAAGGGCAACCTCAAGAGGAACAGCGCCCGGCAGAACAAGATCAAGCACAGCCTTCCGAAACAACAGAAGCTCCTAGCTCGGGTGCCGATGCGACTATGACAGATGCTCCTCTCCCTACCGTGGAGACTACCGAGCCGGAAGGCACAGAGTCTGCGCAGACAGATGAGGATGGATCGGTAGAGGTTAACAAGCCGGACACGGCCAAGGAACCTTCGGGAGACGAGAAGCACAAACGGAAAACCATTGAGCCTCCTGTTATCCCTGATTACAACTTGCAATTGGTCGTCCATATCCTTGCTGCTCGTGAATGCAACGGGAAGACGTTCAGAGACACGCTCTCGACCATCAATAATTTGTCGGCCATTCCGGGAGCGCGCGATGTGATTGGAAACGAACTTCTCGGCCAGTCTCGGAGACTGAGTACTACAATCTTAACCGACTTGGATGAGTTGTTGCCTCATATCGACCAGGCTCGGACTGGTACCGACATGCAAGGATTGGCACTGGCGAAATTCTCTCCAGCTAGTTCCGATCAGGCGAAGTTGTTGCGTGCTCTAACGGCGCTTGACTATCTGTTCGACCCTAACCGTATTGACAAGACCAAACAAAATGAGCCCGACTCCGCTGCCAAGGAAGATGTTCTCCAGAGCTTGTACGAGACCTCTACGTTTGGGCCTCTCTGGACTAAGCTTAGCGAATGCTTGACCGCTATCCGGAAGAAGGAAAATATGCTGAACGTGGCTACTATTCTCCTCCCGTTGATCGAAGCTCTGATGGTCGTTTGCAAGAACACGACTCTAAAGGAGGCATCTCGCAACAGCCGGGAATTGTCTGTGTCTAATACGTCTATCGATGCCAACATGGGTATGGAGAATTTGTTCTTCAAGTTCACCGAGGAGCATCGCAAGATCCTCAACGAACTGGTTCGTCAGAACCCCAAGCTCATGAGCGGTTCCTTCTCGTTGCTCGTCAAGAACCCTAAGGTTCTCGAGTTCGACAACAAGCGTAACTACTTCACCCGGCGAGTCCATTCCCGTGGTGCGGAACCTCGTCAACCTCATCCACCCCTTCAACTCTCTGTGCGCAGAGACCAGGTGTTCTTGGACTCCTTCAAGTCTCTGTACTTCAAAACGGCAGATGAGTTGAAGTATGGCAAATTAAACGTGCGCTTTATTGGCGAGGAGGGTGTCGACGCAGGTGGTGTGACAAGAGAATGGTTTCAAGTTCTTGCGCGTGGCATGTTCAACCCCAACTATGCACTGTTCATTCCAGTTGCTGCCGATAGCACAACCTTCCATCCTAATCGCCTGAGTGGGGTCAACTCGGAACACTTGATGTTCTTCAAGTTCATCGGGCGGATCATCGGTAAGGCTTTGTATGAAGGTCGCGTTCTCGATTGCCACTTCAGCCGAGCAGTGTACAAGTGCATTCTTGGTAGAAACGTGTCTATCAAGGATATGGAGACACTTGACCTCGATTACTATAAATCTCTCCTTTGGATGCTTGAGAACGATATCACCGACATTATCACGGAGACCTTCTCCGTGGAAACGGATGACTTTGGAGAGAAGCAAGTTATTGACCTGATTGAGAACGGTCACAACATCCCTGTCACCCAAGAGAACAAGGAAGAATACGTACAGCGTGTGGTTGATTACCGCCTACTCAGATCCGTCAACGAGCAACTCGATAATTTCCTCAAAGGTATGTTCACTTTCTGTTATACGAAGCTAGTACAAACGCTAATACTCATATAGGCTTCCATGAAATTATTCCACCGGAACTTATTTCCATATTCACTGAGCAGGAGCTCGAACTTTTGATTTCCGGTTTGCCCGAGATTGAGGTGGACGACTGGAAAGCCAACACTGAGTACCACAACTATTCGGCATCTTCGCCCCAGATCCAATGGTTCTGGCGTGCTGTACGTTCCTTCGACAAGGAAGAGCGTGCCAAGCTGCTCCAGTTTGTTACTGGAACCAGTAAAGTACCACTCAACGGCTTCAAGGAACTCGAGGGTATGAACGGAATCAACAGGTTCAACATCCATCGCGACTACGGTGACAAAGAGCGCCTTCCTAGCTCACATACATGCTTCAACCGTAAGTTCCACTGAACAGTTCGCGACTTAACAGATACTAACGAGATAATATAGAGCTTGATCTCCCAGAATACGAAAGCTACGAAACACTCAGGCAGCGCCTGTATACAGCAATGACGGCTGGCAGCGAATACTTTGGGTTTGCATAGACGAAAAGCGAAGGATGGATTTCTGGCTTACGTGTTTTTTGTGTGCTTTACCATCTTTGTTTCAATGCTCCAGCATATGGCGGCGTTTCAAATTTACCAAACTAGTTTGTATGTACGATTTTGCGTGTTTAATGGGGAAGAAAAAATGGGGTGGATTTGAAGATAGGGCTCATCGTCTTTCGGCCGCTGGTTGAAGTGCAGGTCAATTGGTGTGATCCGGGGGAATGTGATATAGGGCTTCTGTTTTCTTTTCTCTTTTCTGTATTTAGTTGATGTCTTAATGACCTGGTTTTTTACTTTGATATGACCTGTTTGGACGTAATCATGTGACAATGCAAATCGTAGGTGGGTCGCGTCACATGATCGGTACTGCACGAGGGGCTCTTTTTTTTCTGGGCCTCATTCGGGACTGGACCTTCACCTCAGCCGTCTATGGGGAACTCTCACTCAAACAACATCTGCCATCTTTGAATAACTATCACCTGTTCACTTCTTGAAGCTTGGTCTTCTGTCACTGCTCGCTCTTGGCGTAACCCCAGATCCGACACATTCTCGTGCTCGAACTCCGCTTCCATCTCCGAAATTTTTCACCTTCCTCCACATCCAAGAACATACACATCATGTCAGCCAACTCGATTAAGCTCCTGACAGGTAACAGCCATCCAGAGCTTGCGAAGCTCGTTGCCGACAGGTATGGTTATTCTAGACGCTTTAGTTACACTCGTGCGATCGTCGGACTAACGGCTATTTTCTCGAACTACAGACTCGGCATTGAGTTGACCAAAATCATGGTCCTCCAGTACTCCAACCAAGAAACGAGTGTTACGATCGGTGAAAGTGTACGGGATGAGGATGGTACTGTCAGCCTTATCCCTATTGTTCGCAGTGCGCTTTTGCGCTAACGTGCGGCCTCTTGCTGTTCTTCAGTTTTCATTCTGCAGTCCACAAGACCCAACGACATCAACGATGGTCTCATGGAGCTCCTCATCATGATCAACGCTTGCAAGACGGCCTCTGCCCGGCGCATCACAGCTGTCATCCCCAATTTCCCCTATGCGCGCCAGGATAAGAAGGACAAGAGTCGTGCTCCGATTACCGCCAAGCTAATGGCCAATATGCTCCAGACCGCTGGTTGCAACCATGTCATCACTATGGACCTTCACGCTAGTCAGATTCAGGGTTTCTTCAATGTGCCCGTTGACAACCTCTATGCTGAGCCTAGCATGCTGAAGTGGATCCGGGAGAACCTGGATGTGGAAAACTGCGTCATTGTGAGTCCTGACGCTGGTGGTGCTAAGCGGTAAGTGACTCGTTTATTGTAAGTGGTGTTTTGCGTCTGACAAAATTGACGCGTTTGTCTTCCGCAGTGCCACCGCTATCGCCGACCGGTTGGATTCACAATTCGCCCTGATTCACAAGGAGCGCCCTCGTCCCAACGAAGTTTCCCGAATGGTTCTTGTTGGTAACGTCAAGGACAAGGTTGCCATTATCGTCGATGATATGGCCGATACTTGTGGGACCCTCGTCAAAGCCGCCGACACCGTCATGCAGCACGGTGCTAAGGAAGTCAACGCAATTGTCGTCCACGGCATTCTCTCCGGTAATGCCATCGATAACATCAACAACAGCTGTCTCAGCCGTATCGTCGTTTCGAACACCGTTCCCCACGAAGAAAAGAAAGAAGTCTGCGACAAGATCGCAACGATCGATATCAGCCCTACGCTCGCTGAAGCTTGCCGCCGGACACACAACGGAGAGTCAGTTAGCTTCTTGTTTTCGCACGCGGTCTCTTAGATATATACTCTAAAGGGCGAAAGGAGTACGAATTAATGTGGTCATTTCTTTTCATTCGCGAATATATGAAGTGTCTAGTACTGCTTAGGAAAGACGCCTTGTTTACTTGTTTCTGTGTTTTTTTTTTTTTTTTTTTTTTTTCGGTATTTGCATAACTTGGTCTTTTCATTTTTCTAGCTGTTATGACAATTATTGGTCTCGGGTGTGTAAACCCCAATTGGATATCATGATGAACGAACACAAAAAATGGGAAAAGAAATCAAGGCTGCCTGCTCTTTTCATGATTTGCATTTGTACATATACACAAAATGGCTGGTGTTTTCTATTGAGTGATGTCTTTACCCCAGACACGGTACTTTAGCTGAGCAATTGATGGATTTAAACGGGTGTAATTTGTGGCAAATGTTTGTGGGGTTGCCCACAGATAAAAAAGAAATTAATAAAGTGCGATAGCAATCGATAAAAAATTATCTAGAATCGTGAAACACTCGTACTTGTACGAAATAGGTAGTTCAAGGAAAAAGGAAATAGATTGGCAGTTCGAACAAAAGGAAATAGACAAATCCGAAGTATAGAAAGAATAAGAAAAAATGAAACATCCCATTGCACTCCAAATTTTGATGTCTTTATTTTATCTGCACTTCACATGGCCCCTGCAGATACACGCCTCCCCCAGAGCTCAATCAATAAAACGAAAATAGAAGATATCTTTTTCTTTCTTCAAAAGAACCTGAGTTTGATAGATTGTCAAAGGAACCCGCCCCCTTCGCAGCCTTCTTTCGTTGTCCCCTTTCAAGTCGCTGAAGAAAACTTTTTTATTTATTCATTCGGTTTCCTTAAGCCATGATAAGAGACAAGAGACGTAACCCGACCGACCATATTAAACCCCTGGAGAAAAACAACGCATTTACTTCCTCATCGAAGACGCCCGGCGCTTGCGGATCTCCTCACGCTTGGCCTTCTCCTCGTGGACACGTCCGGCAAGGAGCTTGGAGTACTCGTTACTGTAGACTTGTCAGTGATTCCCGTAATACGTAGACGGATGTGAGACAATATGTCGGGGAACTTACGCAGCCTCGCGAGAAGACTCCGCACGACGGCGCTTGAGGGCCATGCGGTGGCGCTTGTGCTGGAGACGCTGGGGAGTGACCAGACGCTGGATCTTGGGGGCCTTGGTGTATTCGGGCTTGCCCTCCTTGGTGACGGTACGGCGGATGACGAACTTGCGGACGTCGTCCTTCTTGTCGAGACCGAAGAAGCGGCGGATCTTGGTGGCACGCTTGGGACCGAGACGCTTGGGAACGACGGAGTCGGTCAGACCGGGAAGCTCACCCTCACCCTGCTTGACGATGGAGAGGGCCAGGACGGCAAGGTCGAAGTTGGTGATGGCACCACGGACGGACTTGCGCTTGCGCTCACCGGTGCGGCGGGGGCGGTAGCAGCTATTGACGAGCAACAATCAGCCTCTGTCGCATATTTTCCTTCTTTGTTCCTCCTAAATGATTTTTCGCCGGGTGTTGGGTTCGGAGTCGAATTTACCTGTGGCCATCGCTGAGGAGCAGGCGGGTACGGGTAGGAAGGAGAACTGTATGTTCGATGAGTTTTCGTTCGATGAGACGTTTTTCGTCGAGTTTGTCGGTCGTTACATACCACCCTGCTTCATGGGGAAACCTGAAAGACGAATTACCGTTAGCCATTGATTCTCCAACACATCCCTTTGTTGCCATGGCGCATGTATATAGTCGTACCTTGCTTGTCGTTACCACCAGTGATCTTAAAGACGTAACCCTTGAATTCATCACCGAGGGAGTCGCCGGGAATCTAAACACATCGAAGAAATCCCAATCAGCCTTCCATTCCTCAAATCGTAGACGTTTGCAAATCCTCCATTCGGTCGTATCGAATCTTTCGCTTCCTCCTCTTCCTCTATCCCTTTTCATATCCCTTCCACACCAAACGACAAAGGGCTGGCACTAACTTCGGTTCCCATGCGCTTTTCCATGAAGGGACGGAGCTTGCGCTCGTCATCGACCTCGATGATCTTCTGCGACCCATTGGCCGGGTAGGAGACGTTGAGCTTCATCTTGACTTGACGGAAGCTGCGCGGTCAAGACAGAGGCGCGGGTTACGGTTTTGTCGACAGGTCGGAGATGTTTTCTTCAAGTCGTCGGAGTTCTTGTCTCGCGCGGGTGGGATTTTTGGGGCTTGTTGGTGTAGCGAGATTTCCGCTGTGTGGGCAGCTGACTCAGACTGCACTAGGCGGTTTTGGGCGTTAGTGCCGGGAGGTAGGGCTTCTTATGTAAGCCACTCCTACAGATACAGAGTTAACAGGCACGAGGACAACAAGAAATGAACAGGATCAAGCATTTTAATAAAATGATTAATGAGGAATACTATCTGGATTATGGTAGTAGGTTCTGCGATTCAGGGCCAGTGAGTCGCATTGCGAACTTGGAATGTCTTGTCCTGATAAGGACTCCGCGACATCAACGCCATACTGCGCAGTCTACCATCGTAGACAGCCAAGTGCAATTAGTCGATTTTCGACCAGCATTAGATTATTAAGAAAAGCATGATATTTCTTTCGATCAGAGTTGTCAGTTGCTGAGCGATTCAACGCCAAGTATCGGGTGATCCAATAGAATAGTACGGAACACTCACAAGTTGAACCACCACATTCATAGAATATATATCAAGTCGAATAGCTTGAATATGCGATAATCTTACGGAGCAATAAATACCTGGATCTACTGTATGTGGGAAACGAAGACAGCGTTCGCTGTGAGAACATTGAAACAGAGGACAAGACCAGGGAATGAGCAGCGAGAATTATCGAGGCCTACATCTTGCCAAGGAAGAAGTGCCAACAGGGGAGCATCGTACTCCAGTACAATCCTCTTTCTACAAAGTGCGGAATACCGTCATCTCAACTTTGGTAAGCTCTCGGGTCTGCACCACCAGGTGCTCCATTCAATATATCCATTCCTCAGCGCCAGCGCCAACTCAGATCTGCATTATAACAACCACTAGGTCACCGTTAATACATCGGGCGTCAATAGTGACTTGTGTGGACATCACGGATGGCCGCGAGTTCCATATCATTGTGGATATGTCAGAAAGTGCTAGTGCGTATCCGCATTACGAAGTTATCAAAGTCACCCCTCAATGATACAGATATAGATCGACGTAGAAGGTAGCAGATCTCAGCATGATTGCTGCCCTGTGATAACGACGGATTACCCGCGTCTGAGCCGAGCCAAAAGCATGGGCCCAAGCTCATCCGGTTCTTTGTCGGATGGCTCCAGATGTTTTCTTTGTTCTCTGAAAACGAGAATTTCAAAGCAATACTTTAGCGAGAATACCCCCCCCCCCCCCCCAAAAAAAGCACATGGTGGAGAGTGCTACGATCCTGGTATTTGCATTAGATTTGCATTTGGGGGCATGGCGTAACCGTCTCTGTGGTATGTATGCATGCATACTGAAAGAGCATGACAGATATGGACGTTTGAATAAGGTTGGACTGTTCTCTCTGTGTGACCATACGAATTGGTGTTATTGCAGTCATGTGTGACACATGGACAACTTTCTTTGAACCGTGGATGTTTATTAACATGCATCTACGAGCATTTCTTTGTCTTTTGTGTGCCGCGAAATCCTCATCGAGTCTCACGATGGGGCGGGATGCCATCCGTATGGTACCAAAAGATCGGGTACATGAAAGACCGGATAATAAGAAGGTACTGAAAGAAGACAATATGCTTGAAAGGGTAAGGACGGGCCGTGTCTGTTCTTTGCGAGACTGGCCCTAGCCAGGTTCGCGACGTGATACGTCACTAGGGTATTGTGGCTTGGTGTCAAAGGGTTGCTTGATCTGTATGCTGTATCAAGATCGGAAGTAGTGACTTCGGCTTGAGCCACGAGGTGTTAACGGGGCTTCCTCGAACTCAGTCGTTGCCGAGCGGTGCTAAAAATTGGTAACAATACATTGGCCTTAGCTAAGGCTTATTCGAAGCTGAAAGACTGGACGAAGATCCGCTATCAAGAGGTCGGTTTTCTCAAGATAGCCGTAGTGGTATTGGGACTAGCCCGACACCGTTGTGAGACAACGGGGTGCAGCAGTATACCTGGGTCTGATGCATTTCTCTAACGTGGGAAAATTAGCACAGAATAGAGGAGATAATAACACATTATGCGTTATGTTAGCCGGACGAAAACTGACATCTGAAAGACAACAAACCATCATTCTGAACAGCCTGAACAGCCTGAATGAGACAGTGTCATATTAGTTCCCAATCGAGGCTAGCTTTCAAGTTTTGCACGGTCTGCCCAAGTTCCTCAGACAAGAAAAGGAACTCTGCAGATGAGACGTAAAGTCATTGAAGTCATTGTCGATTGACGTACGAGACAACCAGACAACCAAATAAGAAAAGAGGACAGGGCAGCTGGTATCCGACATGAATCAAACACTGGAAGTGTAAATGGACGGATGAGAATGCCGGATACTACGATGGGTCAGTGATTGTTGCAAGAGGCAGTCCTGGCCTGTGTTGACTTCATGAAACAACCAGTTCTGACAAACTGAACAAGACATTGACCAAATAAAACCGAACCAGATTCTGGGATGTTAGATTCCTCGTGGTATTCCATTGCACTGGAACCAGGGGAATGTTCAGTGCAACGTCTGCAGGATAGAAATTTGTGGGGAAGGTAGTATTGTATTCTGCAGACTAAAGTCGAGATGATGCCACGAGTATCTGCAACAGTACTCTGTACTTGTGCAAACGAGACAGTCCCAAAGGAGAGAATTAATGAAGCTGTCAAAGGAATGCAGCTAATTAAGACCAAAAGCAAAGGAATAGTTCGATGCTAAAAAGAGCAAACGAAACAAAGAAATCCTCCCAAATGTCTCCGCCCGTGTTGCGATCGGCTGCCCCGACGGAGCCAATCAGATCGGGTTGGAACGTGCCGATGAACGATGATTGGGAGGGGATCCCTGCAGATGGCCGCATGCGGGCCAACTAGACAAAGAAACGCTAAAAAAACAATGACACTTCTGTCACGCACAAGTACCAAGTATCCTCGTACTACCGCTAGTGGCTTGTACAGTATGCTATGCCATGCTACCAGTACAAGTATGGATGAAGACGCTTCAGGAAAGACTATTAGATAATCATCAATCTATGGATCTTGGATCTTGGATCTTGAACATGCCACGGTCATGGTTACTCTGAATGACAAAAACTGACAGGATTCAATCACCTCACAGACCAGAAAAAGGTCCCCGAGAACAAAGACTGGGCAAGCTGTAAAACAACGCCGCAAGTGATAGCGAGACCCCGACAGAGACAAAGGACTTGAAGGAAAAAGAAATAAAGCCTCCAATCCGGCTGTGTTTCCCGTCGTATTCATTTCCTCCTTTTCTTTTCTTTTTGTTATTATTATCCCTACCATATTTACTTTTTTTTCCCTTTACTCTCTGGAGATAGAAAGGAAAGCAAAGCAGGCAAAAAAAGAAAAAGTAAAAAAAAGCGAGACATATCTGAAAGAATAAAGAACTATTTCGTCGGGTCTGGACGTTGTATGACCTTATAGCCGGGTTTGTCTCTTTTTCTTCTTTTTCTTCTTCTCTCTCTTTCTCTTCCATATTTTCTCCTCTATTACTTTTCTTTCATCTATGTCATTGCCTCGTCTTTCTTTCATCCTCCATCGTCATCTCTAGTGCTCGTCTTTTGTTTAAATGTCTTACGATCGAGTGCTCCCTGTGCCTGCTGCTCTACATCATGAGCCTGCCCAGGTTGTGCTTCCTCCTAGACAAACCAGTAACCTCCTCGAGCACAAAATCATGAACGACGATTACTCTCACAAGGCCACTATGATGGACTGTTCTCATCATTCCCTTCCTCTTCCTCATCGTCATTATTCCTCTCCTCCTTCCCACGATGGATACGCCAATTCCTTGCCCCAGGTTCATCTCTCCTCCATCAACCGCGCCAAAGTGGCCTACAACCGCATGGCTTCCGGTGGTACTTTAGAGTCCCACAAGCCTATCGCCCCGTTACCATCGGCCAAGGAAATTCCTATTCGTGAACACTCCTCTTTCTCAGATCGGTCTGGTTCCTCCAGCCCGGGCAAGTCGTCGAGTTCCAGAGAGCTGCAGCCGCAGCAGCAACAACAATCTGCGGCCCAGTTTTGTCTCTGTCAACCCGACCCCAAGATCCCCAGACCCCGTAATGGTGAGTGACTGGTTTCGGAAAAGTTTTGGAACAAAAGCCTGACAGCGATAACCCTAGCTTTCATTCTCTATCGCCAACACTATCAAGCTGCGGTTGTAGCTCAGAACCCCGGTCTGGCTAACCCGGATATCTCCAAGATCATTGGTGAACAATGGAGGAAGCTTCCGCAGGAGACCAAGGATGAATGGAAGGCTCTCGCAGAGGTATGGAGCTGAGTAACCCAACCACAGCCCTAATAAACTCTAACAATGGATTAGGAAGAAAAAGCTCGCCACCAGCAACAATATCCTGAATACCGGTATCAGCCCCGTCGATATGGCCGTGATGGGAATCTTCGCAGTAACGTCACACAAACGCCTTCTGGCTCGACAGTTTGCAATAAGTGTGGTGGTCGAATCATGAACCCACCAGTCTCGCCAGACGCTCCCTTCACACCAAATGGATCTTCTGCCTCCAGTAACGGGATCTCACACACCGACACCTTGCCTGTCCGTAGCTATCAGTGCCGTATCAAAGACACTGATCGGTCCCCAAATCCTATCCGATTTGGAAGCAACGGCGGGCCTCGGCCATCCCGTTCGCGACAATGGGAAGAAAGTGGATCTCGATCGCCAGATTCGAAGCGTCGCCGGTTCAATCCCTATCCCTTCAAGGCAAGCCTTCCCCGTGAAAAGACTCCGGACTCACGAGGCGCCAACAGCAACAGCATGCTTCACATGTTACATCCTCCACGGCCGCATCCCAATATGAAAACCAATCAGCCTCCACATGATCCTAGTTTGAAGCTACCGCCATTGCAAACAACTGCTTCGGCACCCGGGATCATGACCCCAATAACGCCCTTTTCTCAGAACGGATCAAGCTTGGAAAGCACTGTCATGACCATCCCGTTCCTGAACAAGATCAAAGTTCTCGCCAAAATCTCGCCTCCGCTGGCTCCCATTCTCAGGGATGCTTCTCAACAGCAACAACGGGGTCCGGTTATTGCTGTCGATGGACAGGATCCGGCATTGGTGAAGGCCACGGTCGAGTATCTGGGAAGTGCTTTGCAGAAGGAAGGGAGATACAGTGTCCGAACATTCGACGGGCCAGAGGTCCGCCCCCGCGATGCGTCTTCAGAATCAGGGCAAATGAAGGATGCCACGGTGGATTACCTCGACACCATTTCCGCGTGGCACCGAATCTCAGACGAGATTATCAACTTCGTCCGGCCGTCCGCTGGGTCTCCCATGATAAATCCAGCGGACGAAGAGGTTCAATATGGTATCTCACCAAAGACCATACTCTCCGAAGCAGCGAACTTGCAAATTGGGTCACCCAAGGGCAGTGAGAATGGATCCGCTGCGACACCATCGTCATCGATGACAAGCTCTAGCGGAAGTCCCATTGCTCTGGTGCCTCGATACCAACTCACCACCGCCGACACATTTGCCTGTTCGGTTCCCATCCACGACTCGTATGCGCCGCTTGACCATTGGCAATGGATGGCTTCCCTCTGGCGTGCATGTGTGGGCCCGGACATTACGGTCTACATCCGGGAATGTGAGAAGGATGAACTCGACCAGCTTGGAGGAAATCCCGTCGAGGTGCGTCTTCACGATGCGCGGACTGTTGTCGTGCGGAAAGCGACAGGCACTCCTAAAGGTCTTGAGGAGAAAGTTCTCAGACGGGTAGGGTTCGAGATTGAAGATTTCTTAACTCAGTAATCGGTTATTTGATTGGAGTTTTCGGTTTTATTATTTCCTTGCATGCATCCATGGATGAACTTTATGAAATGGCGTTTTGGTTTGCTCTGTACAATCGTTGGCCGGTTTTCTTGTCTGTTTTACATCTGGTGTTCGGTGTATATATTCGGGCATTGGACGTTGGGGTTACTGTTACTACCATCTGCGTTCTGGCTACAAATGCATTTTTCTACAATTTCTCTCCTTCACTCTACCTACAGCCAAAGCAGCGGCTTTCTAAATAAACACCTAATAATAATGTCCTTAACTATTCACATCTACGGAGTACTCCATCCACTAACTAATATAACCCGATATGGTAAGAGCGGAGCGGTCAGTCCCAGAACCAATGAAACGCCACCATTTCGGAGGTCTCTTATCATCCTTTCCCCATGCAGTTCTTCTGATTCACTCGCGACAGGCTGGACGAGGCTTCAAAATGGAATCGCCGTGTTAATTAGGAGAACTTTTTATATATACGGGTCTTACTTTCCTAACTCGCACTTTCTCATGCCGTTGTTACCAAAGCCGTTCCCAATACACGCATGGAGCCCAGCGGTATGGCTCATTTCAATTTCCCCAACTCTGTCTCTCCAGAGAGGATGTTGGCAGACCAGCCAAAAGCCCTCACTCCTCTTTATGGCGATTCAAATGTATGGAGTAATAAGCTCGATTTGTTCGGCAGAGCGTCTGCTTGTCAGGTTCGTGGCCTCGCGTGACTTTGTGCAGCTCATCGTTCCGTGGCTTATTTTCGGCTCAGGAACAGGAACAGGGTACGAACTCCGGCGAACATGTGCCTTGTTCGACAGATGAAGATACCTCTATGCGTCGCTCGTGCGGATCCTGTCATATCCTCGAGTTCTCAGATACCGCTATGCCTTCGCCTTTGCATTCGGACTCGACATCTGCTCCCACTACCACGCAAGATGGTAAACCAGGTGATGGATCGTCTGGGCTGAACTTGGAGTCTTATATACCAGTCGGTGTGTTGAGGAAACGGAATATGTTCGATACCACCAACATCCCAAAAAACATCGATGAATTCCCCTCGCCAGCGATCGCAAACTTGGAGAAACACAATTGGATCCGAACATGCACCTTTCCCTACAAAAACCATCCGCAATGGAGCTACGTATGCATATACGTTCTACCAGATGATGTGGGCCGCAAGTCCATTCCGCGCTCGAGCATGGCATTACGGCGCGCGCTCAAGACCGTGATGGCGAGGGTGGACCGATCACGTGAAGCATGGGAGGGAAAGTTTCCCGAGGATCAGAATGAGATTGTTATCAATGAGAAACAGAAGAGTGAAGAGGATGAATCAATGTGGTATATTTTCAATACGTTGCAGGATCCTGTGCCTCAGGTGGAGACGATGCAAGACCTGTATGCAAGGCAGGCGATGGAAGAGCTGCTTTCAACAGCTACTGGTGCTGGTGAGAGTGACTCGGGGGTAGGTGGTCTCAAGACTGCGCTGTATCCTTATCAACGGCGCTCGGCAGCAATGATGGTTCAGCGTGAAGCACAGCCAGCAAGGATGCTTGATCCTCGTCTACAGGCGTGCAAGAATCCGCTTGGTCATGAGTACTACTATGATAAAGAGGAAGGGTGTATCGTCCATGAGAAGAAGATGTATTCGGAAGCTTGCGGGGGTATTTTAGCAGAGACCATGGGTTGCGGCAAGACCCTGATATGCCTCGCGGTGATATTGGCGACACAGGGACATTTCCCTCGCATTCCGCTGCAGTACCATCAGCAGATTGAGAATCCTGTCCATGAGAAGACTGCCAGTCTCGTTGAAATGGCGGCTGCGGCTGCAGGACGGTACTCTTTGCCGTGGAAAAGGTACTTTGACACTTTGAAAAGAGACGGCTTATATTACGATCGGTGTGTCGAAGCATGCGAAAAAAACCGTGGCAATTACATCATTCCATCAGCAGCAACAAGGCAGAAAGGCCGGAACGGTGTGCCATATCCGAGGCCACCGCCGCAGAAAATTGGCCTTTGCTCAGGGACGTTGATCGTCGTGCCACCTAACCTGGTCGATCACTGGGGAAGTGAAATAGCCAAACACACGGAAGGATTGAAGGTGCGCGTTCTAAGAAACAGCTCCGACAAGACACCGTCAGTCGACGAATTATTGCATTATGATATCGTCCTCTTCTCGAGGATCCGCCTTGAGAAAGAAGCTGGTGAACTGGTGCCCAATCGCCGTGTTTCAGCGAAGTCAGAAGATTCTCCATTGACCAAGGTTCATTGGCTGCGCATTATTGTCGACGAAGGCCACAATGTTGCTGGACATGGTCAACGGACTAACATGGTGCACCTATTAGATCAACTCCAAGTCGAGCGCCGGTGGATCGTGTCAGGAACGCCTTCCAGTGGATTGTATGGAGTTGAAATCAGCTTAGCTTCGCGAGAGACGTATAGTAACGAGATTGAACTTTCCAACGCTACGAATACCGCGCTTCGAGGTCGTAAAATGACCGGGTCAGCGCTTGACAATGAACTCAAGGACATGGACAAGTTGCGCCATATTGTGGTAGAATTTTTAGATCTGAAGCCATGGTCGAATTCCCGGGCGAATGACCCTGCAAATTGGACCAAGTATATGAAACCGGTCGGTGAGGATGGTAAACGTCGAAAAGCTCCGTCACTGCGAGCAACATTACAGGGCCTCGTTGTACGGCACCGCATGGATACCATCCACGTTGAGACGCCTCTTCCGCCGCTATCTAATAAGGTGATCCATCTAGAACCGACGTTCTATGATCAATTGAGTCTGAACCTGTTCATCGCCATCCTGGGCGTCAATGCGATCACCTCAGAGCGGTCTGATCAGGACTACATGTTTCATCCGCGTAACCGGAAGCATCTCAGTCTTACTATCAACAACTTCCGGCAAGCTGGATTCTGGTGGTCTGGGTTTGACCAAAAGGATATCTCTGGGACGATGGACGTTGCAATACAATATTTGCAAAAGAATAGAGAACGAATGCCAAAGGATGATATCGCTATGATGACCGAGGGTATTCGAATTGCACAGATCGCCATTTGCTGCGGAAGCCGGAGCGCGTTTCGACAATACCATGAACTGGGTGTCTTCGTGCAGGGTTTCCCGGCGCATGCGCGCAGTCTTTGGGCTCTTGACCCATCAACGGCGGATACTGAGCCACTCTTGCTGGGAATTTCGCAGGCGCGTCAGGCTCAGCAATTTATTACGTCTCGCTTGAGCGCAGAGGATCCGGCTGAAGGTCTCGCTGGTGCGGGTATCAAGGCACGTCGTGAACTTGCTGAACGGCAGAGCGACTCTGTGCCCATGCCCACGAAGATCAGTACACCTGTGACTTTGCCAAAGAAGAGCGGTGCGCCGGATAAAAGTGCCAAGACGAGTTCGCCAAAGTTTTCCAAGGGCCTCCTCAAGTCCTTGCCAAAGGATTCGCCCCTTACCCAGACGAAACTTGTTGCAACTGCATCGGCCAAGTTGACGTATCTTCTTGATCGGGTTTTGGAGCTCCAGGAGAAGGAGAAGATCATCATCTTCTACGACAATAACAACATAGCTTTTTGGATAGCAGAAGGTCTGGAAATGATAGGCGTTGATTTCCGGATCTACGCCAATACGCTCAAGCCTGCCCTCCGCACCTCATACCTAGCCCTATTCCGCGAAAACGAAGAAGTCCGCGTCCTCCTAATGGACCTCCGCCAGGCATCTCACGGCCTCCACCTCGCCAACGCATCGCGCATCTTTATTGTAAACCCAATCTGGCAACCCAATGTGGAGAGTCAAGCAATCAAGCGTGCCCATCGGATCGGACAAACCAGAGCTGTATACGTCGAGACGCTCGTTTTGAAAGATACACTAGAAGACAAGATGCTTCGACGACGGAAGGAGATGTCTGATTCAGAGATCCAGCATGCGGAGAAGGATTTGTTGGATGACAACGCCATGAGTACTATTATTCAGAATGAGAAATTCCTTCCGATGTCTGAGAGTGACAATGGGGACCATAATCCGTTTGCGCGATTGGCGTTTCTAAGGAATCCGGTTGGATTTTTTGATCGCCATAAATCGCCGGTGCTGGATAAATTTGATTCCGGGAAAGGGAAGGGGCAACGGATAGGTGAAGGCTCACTGTTCAATACACCGCTACCATCGCCGTCCAAGACGTCCGCGAGACGGAAACGCAAGATATTGAGGTTCGACATGGACAGTGCGAATGCAAGCCCAAAAGACAGAGAACAAAATGAGCCGGATCTCCTCACGCCTCAAATTAAACGACGAAAGAACTCAGCAGCAGCAGAGGAAGCGGCGGGGTATGTGAATGGGAATGGGCTTGTGATGACGCCTTCGCGGATGCCTCCACGTCGACCTCGCAATAGCACTAATGGAAGTGCGACGCCTCTTTCTACGTCTCCTCCTCTATCCACCATCACCAGTACTGCTACATCTTTTCCTCCTTTCGCTCTTTTTTCGGGCCAGGATGTACAGACGAAGGTATCGGATCCAGGGCGTTTGGGATAAATGCTTTGAGGATATGGTTTCATAACTGTGTTCTATATTTGATTTGTTGAGATATCCATGGGTTCATTTGGTATATGTATTTAGGGATTATCTGTGAAAGAATAACAAAAACATTCTGGTGATTTGTTCTGAAAAAGGAAAGTGCCCATCTGCTCATGCTGTCCTAGATGACATCATTTGCAGTGAGAATCGCAGGTTGTCTTAATTGGCCAGACAGTCTTGGCATTGTTCTGTTTTAGTGAATTTATGTAGTCTTCCGGAACGCATCGCAGAGATGTGATACAAGGCAGCAAGACTAGCTCCTTAATTGATGTGAATTCCAATCTTTGTAGAAGATACTCATATCAGCACATTAGTACTCTGCATCGCTGTACTAGTATGACAATCTCCCAATCTCCAGCTCCACTGTCGACTACCCCACCAAGATAATCACTTTATAGCCTTGTTCTCTCCAACGTCACCTCTATTCCACTAAAATCCCACCATATCAAATGATACATATATACAGTATTTCATAGATTACCAGCATACATAGGGACAATGACCTCCCAAGCCCTCGTAATCGGCATATCCGGCCCCTCCTCCAGCGGCAAGACGACTCTCGCCCGCCTCCTGCAACGGGTCTTTTCACCAACACTTTCAAAAACATTTGTCATCCATGAAGATGATTTCTATGTGCCTGATAACCAGTACTCCTCCCCTTTCCTTATGCAAAGAAAGAAAGATATTAATAAACGAAACAGAATCCCATATACAACAACCCCATCCGGCGAAACAGTCCAAGACTGGGACTGTATCGAGGCCCTCGACATCAATCATCTCAGTCGTGCCCTCTCACACATCCACGACACGGGCTCACTCCCGGAGAACCTAAAGAGTATTCAGGACCTTAACGAGAATGCTGATTCGGGTGTTAGTCTTGAGACTGTTGAGCGATTGAGGGAATTTGTTGAGGGGCGGTTGGTGTCTTCTACTCCTGCTACTGTTGGTAAGAGGTGTGATAATAGGAGAGAGAGGACGTTAGCTTTTCTGGAAGGGATTCTTCTGTATGCACCTGAGGCTGATAAGGGGCATGTTCTCCGTCCTGTGCATGATAATATCGATGTGCGGTTGTTCCTACCCGCTGCGTATGAAGATGTTAAAGTGAGGAGGGAGGCGAGGTCGGGGTATGTGACGTCTGGGCCTGCACAGGAGCCACCGCTGCCTCAGAGGAATTCGGCGTCGGATGGGAGTGGGGAAGGACGGGAGGGTCGGCAGACCTTTTGGGAGGATCCGCCGGGATATGTGGATGATATTGTCTGGCCACATTATGTGCGGGATCATGCGTGGCTGTTGGTACCGGAGGGAGAGCAGGATGTGGATTCTGCGGAGTTAGTTAAGAAGGTTGGGAGTGGGACGAATGTGAGGACGGATGTTGGGATTGCCGTTGCTCCGGGACAGGGGAGCAGACCTATGACTGAAATCTTGACATGGGCCGTGGAGGAAGTGTTGAAGTGTTGGAAGCGTGTACAATAGTCTTTCATCAATTGAACTCAATCTAAATCCTAATAGTGCCAACCACTATGCATACAATGTGTGCCAAATCAATCAAGGACCCTACACTACCTCATCTCTCGACTAGGATGTAGGTCCTTTCCATCCAAGCAGGTAGTCGACTCTGTCTCTCAGGGACCGTTCATTTGCAGAAATGCTTGGATTGATACCAGATTCGGTTCGTTCGGGTTCATCCGCTCTCTTATCTCCAACTACCGATGACGTCTCCAGTTCAGCTTTCTCTCCTTCAATGGATGTCTCATTCTCCAAACTTCCATAGTCTATGCCCAGCATCTCGATCGTGTCCGGACTACACTCGTGAGAACGATCAGCGATGGTATAATTTGACGGGTGGTATTCTGTGTTGACGTTGGTATTATCAGGTTGGACATCGCGAACGTCCACGTGCGTGACATTGTTAGTCGACTCCATACTCGAGGACCAGCTCAAGGGATCGAAAACGCGGATAATAAGCGTACGAACCATGGCAAGAATAACCATAACAGTCCATAGCAAGAATAATGACGATGTAAATGACATTAATAGTCTCGATGAACCGTTTTCATCTGAGGTCTCGTCAGCCTTTTGGTTCTGCGATGCACCATTATCCCCACACGCGTAATGTACGGAAACCTCAGGACAGTCAGAGTTTTCCACTGTCTTATAATCTTCCCCAGCTTCCACGATTTCATAACAGTCAGCTACGCCGAGGGCATTGATAAACCTCTTTCGAAGAGTCTGCCTCTCCTGTCCGTTAACACCAGGTGATCCGGGATAGATCCGTGGAAGCCACTTCGTTTCCAGTCGGCTGAGGTCTTTAACATCCCAAGTGATGCAAAACATCTCCAGGGTTTTTGGAGGGCAAGTAATTTGGACGTGAGCTGCGCCTATTGGCCTATTCCATGATGCCAGGTAGATGATTGGAAATTTCGTGCAGGGTTGATCAAGTTCGTATTGGTAGAAGCCCTCAGGACCCCCCTCAATGTCGAGGAGGAAGCAGCATTTATCGGCCCAGATACGGCGGTTAGGTAGCTTTAGCTCGCATACAGCATTGTAGGCAACACCCACTTTGTTGCCATCCAACACATCGTGGTCAGCTATGAATTCGTAGTCCACAGTGAAGTCCTTGACGATTCCATAAGATCTCAAGTCACAAACACGCAGCGGAATGACGAGATCCCCTGAAATAGCGAACTCGGCGAAGAAACAATTCTCCACAAACCTGTTCCTGCGAAAATTCGTGGTACGAAATTCCATGCCACAGCCTTCCGGTATCAGAAAGATCAAAAAGCCACTCTCGCCATTCCTCACTCTGGGAAGTCCGGGTATAACCAAATCATGCCAACCTTGTAGCTTTCCCTTTTTTAAGTGGACTGATACGGTTATCGTTATCTTGTACGTTGCGAAGTTGGCTTGTGGAGGATTGCTGACAAGGAGGATCCCATCCTTCAAGTCAAACCCCGGTTCACTTGACACATACTGGAAGGATTTGCTTTCAGAATAAGCAATGTCTGCGCTAGATGACATCGATGGGCTCTTCGTATCTTCAATCACCGGAGCTGTAGTCAGCGGGATGATAAGTCTTGTAGGTCTCACTGGCGTTGGCGAGCCAGGATCATCGTCTTCGTCATCCTTGGTAGGTGTCCCTCCAGCCTCAGGAGATGGTAGCAAATCATCCCTCGCAGCTTTAGGCATTTTTAGAACTGCTTCAACACTTTCTGTCTTGACGTGGTTTGTCACCGAACCATCGTGTGCAAACGTGTGCGTAAGCGAGGTTGGAGTGAGTGGTATGACAGGAGTCGAAGGCATCACTGGGGTTGGCGAACTAATTTCATGGTCATCTTCTTCAATATCTGACAATGTGTCCTCGTCGGTGTCTGAAGAAATGAGTAGTTCATCGCTCGCGATTTTTGATTGAGTGTCCAATTCCTCAACCATCAATTGTGCGTCAACGTCGCCTGTGGCCACAACTTCTGGAACCAACGTATCAGGAGTTGACTTATCGATCAAATCCGTACTATCTTCTTTCTCTTGAAAAGTATCGTCAGCCTCTGTTTCCTCCTGGTAAAAATTGTCCACTTCTGAGTGTTGTTGCTGCTCAGGCGGAAGTCCACCCGTGGTTCTGATTTCGGGAATGAGGCTCAGTCGACTCGAGTATCCTCCTGGGATTTTCTCGATGCTGTTGCTGATATGACGTGTCGGTGTCTTTTCCTCTGCAAATACGGCAAGGTCGGTGCAAACGTTGTTACTGCTATTTGTCGACATACCCACGCGGTGCTTTCTTTTCTCGTCGTCCTGCTCATTGTCCGACAGGCACGCATCCGAAGCAGACCTCTTCCCCAGGTTCTGCGAGACAGTGGGCTCCTCATAGGGAAACACTGGCGGATAATCCATGAGAGGCGACAACTGAAATAAAGACAAGGCCCCAGAATCCTGGCAATCTTCCTGCTCAGACTCCTGCTCTTCCGTCGTGTGCTCCCCGGGTTCTCCTGCGTCTCCAGAGCACGGCGTCAAACCTAGCCCAGATAACCCCGTCTCAGTAGCTGAGCCATCAGTACTGGAGATTGTTGGGGCAGATACTGAAACGGGAGACACATCAAGGTCATCTAATGGTGCTGTTCCTGGCTCCGGCTCCAGCAACCCCAACCCCAACTCCAACAACTCATCCTCCTCAGGTATAACCGACAAACCAGACCGTCCCTCCTCTTCCCAACATTCATCGTAAACAGAACCCACTCCGCCGTCGTCTTCCTCATCATCATCATCGGAAACCGGAGCAGAGAATGCGAACAACGGACTTCGAGGAGGGCTTGTCGACTTTTCATTTGTGTTCTCATCGGAGATACAGCGAACAGACTTCTTGATGAGAGATATATACGACGGTCGGAGGTTTAGGAGGGGGAGCTGCGTGTTTGGAGAGCATTTGACCTGTATGGGCGAGTGAAGTGGTTAGTCAAAGGCTAACCAGCAACGACGAGAGGAAAAGGAAGGTACTTCGAGCGAGATTTGGAGATCCGCAGGCTCGTCAACCCTGCCATTCCATGTACTTCGGATCTCTAGGTTGTTGAAATTTGGTGTTCCTCGATGGAAGAGGTTGTCCGCGCGCTTGGTCTTCAGTCGGTGATTCTCCATCTTTCTGGACTTTTTTGGTATGAGCTCTGGGGATATAATCAAAAGACTTGTACACGAGAGGATAAATACGGCGATTGAATGGAAGAAGGGAAGCCGTAGTATCGAAGGGCGTTGATGAGCAAAACAGACCAAGGATGGGTAGTGAATGACAGCGGGAAGGAGCACCGGGCAGCCGCCTTATAGGGCATGTACGTAGTCGATGTCATTTGGGCTCATCAAGGCTTTTTGATTTCTTTTTTAGATCAATTTAATCGATACAGTCATGAAAAAACAGTCGCAGAAATTCATCAAATCACATCTCCTCTAGACAGACAGGTTTCATACCATTTCTCTCATCAGCGCCATGTCACTGTCTAGAAAGAAGCCAAATAATATATACAACAATGGCAGAGAAGAAACCCAGAGAAAACGAAGCAATCCACCGGAACTTATCATGTTTTCAGAATTTTCCCAGGCGCCAAACATAACCCTCCCAGAACCACCCGATTTTATTCCCATAAACGACAAGCAATAGTAGTAAGAATAACCACAAAACACCCGTCCCGACAGTCTATCCAGAAACACAGGGATATAAAGATAATCACTTCATAATACATCATAATCTCCAGAGAGTATAATAAGAAAGGTGTAAGTCAGAAAAGGGGGATGTAACGAGTGAAGAGAACGGAAAAAGTGAAAA